CTCTTTCTCGCGCTCTATCTCCCGCTTTCTCTCTCTCTCTCTCTCTCTCTCTCTCTCTCTCGATCACTCCCTCTCACTTTCAGGCTGGCCCCGACCTGGCCCCCCAATAGAACCCTTGCGTCGCCTACGTCCAGAATGACAAAACTTGGGTAAGCCGAAGAAGCCGGTTCTCGGTCACGAAACCTTTGCTGTCACCACCTCTTTAGTGCATTTCGGGACTGGCCTTCGGACATCCCTTTAAAACGTCAGCCCCCGTATTTCCAGGTGAACACGGTGTGCACAAACAAATACATGGCGATCTGCTGGAAGGACGCGGCTACCGTATCCCCACCACGGCCAAACCGAAACCTTAAGTATACGGCTTTTGCCTGTTTCCTGGGCTACGGTAGTGGAAGCACCAAAGATCTGATATAAACGCTTCCATTTAAAATTTAAATTGTCGAGCCAAAACGCAAAAAGGGGATTTTGGTAGTAGGAAAATGCACCTGATTACCCCTATCTGAGTGAAATAAGAATGAGCTTTTAAAGGGATCAGCAAGTCTAAAAACCGTATTTACAGTAAGGAAACCATCTCCCAGAATGCTACTAATAACATTTTTTTAAACGGTTAAAGCACACAGGTAAGCCCAGAAAAAAAAATAGTGTGTTTTCCAGACGACTTTTCGGAACCAACTGCCAAGAATTTTCGGGTTTAAAAATACTGGATTAAATTTGAGATTAAATTGAACGTGTTTTAAAAAGTAGCTTCTGCAGTAATAAAATGTTGTGCGATTCCAAAACGCCGCAGAGCAACGATCGTTTACTGTGTACACCCGCAAATTAGACATGTACGCATGGCCGTTTCCTGAAACCTCGTTCGACTTTGTGGAATCGTGACGGGTGGCCAGCACCTCATGTGGGGGTACGGTAGTCGCTTCTGCAGGTGGAGAACGGCCTGTGGGAGCATGGATTTAGCATTACAAAGCGATGGGGCTTGACGGTGGCTGTGGGGGCGGGGGCAAGTAGTTTGGCCCGTGCCATCGCGTCTTCATAGGATGGGGAGGGCCTGAAATTTTGGGGGGTTTAAACCAAAGCGAAACGGTGGATGTCAAAAACCATTTTGTCGGCATTTTATTTGTCGAAATTTGTAGAATTGACTCAAACTTTAGGAAAGATAATACGTATTGAAATTGGGCAAAATGACATTTCGATAGAATACCCTGCTAATTCAAAATTTAAAATCCTTATGTCTCAAAAATTAGAGCAGCTGCTTTAGATCCAAGTCCAGATTCCGAATCAGCACAAAAAGCTGGTTTAGAAATCGATTTAAAACTACAAAGACCACAGACTACACCCACGCAGCGGGGCTGAAATGCCTTCGGTCGGAACTTGCCGGTTTTGAAAATTAAAAAATCTATATCTCAAGAACTAGAGTTGCCGGCAAAAATCTAAGCATATATTTGGAATCAGCGCATAAACTCCTCCAGAAGCAAACTGACGACTACTCAGACTAGAAACTACGGCTTCATTTAGTGAAGCGGAAGGGACGCTGCTTTGACCTTTCCGACGTGACATTCCGCTTATATCTCAAGAACAACGGTTATTAGGAAAAATCTAACAATGTGGTGTTATGTGTGTATTTTTAAGTAGATACCTAGGATCAGGGCAAAAAACTGGCCTAGAACCGGCTGCAAAACTACAGGCTACAAACTACACACTCACACTCACTTTGTTGTTCGCTGTATTCCGGTCCCGGCTCGTCCATCACCCACCACAGCGGCCACCTCGGCGCTTCCCGACCGTGATTCTCCTCTTGTCTAAGCACCATTTCTAAATTTGTTCATTTCGGAGATCGTGTCCGTTCCACCGTACCCCTCCTCATTTGGCGTCGCTGGCTGAATTTGGCAAAGACGCAGCGACAGCACGAAATCAGGATCACGAAGATGATGATGTCGAGGGCGAATAGCAGCATTTTGTAGACTGGCTGGAATTTGGGAAAGGTTTTCATGGTTTCTACTAGCTCATGCTCATTTTAGTTCATGTTCCAATGCTAACTCGATTTTATCGAGTCTGAAATGGTTTCTGCTAGCTTCCCAGTCCACTGTTTTGTTCAAGGTTCGCTTTTAATGTGCCAACTGAACGTAGAAAATCTCAAATGGTCTCTGCTAACCTGCCCGATGCAGAAGCCTAAGCAATCCGCCGACTCACCATATCCTTCCACCAGACCCGCTCCTCATCACCAAAATCGCGGGATTGTGACCCCTGTCGAGTCGGGAATCCAGACCGCCCGTCTTGGTCGGCCTGTGAGGGTTGTTGAGGACCACGCTGGAGTACAGGACGCGTCCGGTATTCACATCTTGGACCGAAATAACCGATGAAGCACGAGCAGATCTGGAAACGGGATCATGATCTCTCTTTCTCTCTCTCTCTCTCTCTCTCTCTCTCTCTCTCTCTCCTACCTGAACCTCCGTTTGCCCGGGTGCTATACACCGGAAGTGATTCTCCACGGTTTCGGGCTTCTCGAACGTTGAGCAACTGAAGAGTAAGTTTCGGCTTAGGTTGGGCTTAGGCTCAGGCTTAAGTCTAGCCAGCTATAGCCTTAGTTTTAGGGTTAGGCTTCGGCTTAGGCTTCAGCTTAAGCTTCTTCCGTTTAGAAACCAACTTACGAGACATTCCGCAACCGTCCACTCAAGCAGCTCTGCAAGAATTGGCATCGATCGCCGTAGAATCCGATGTGGCAGTGGCAGGGTGGCCCTGGAAATGGCCAAGCTATCAGGCATCGTTGGGGAATTTCCGGGTTTTGTTAGTGCGCAAATAGGGGCTTGGTTAGAGTGTCAAAGCGCACTCCGGAACAGGCACCCCCAAACCCACCATTAGCGCGTGCTGCCCAAACGGCCTCTCGCCCTAAAAATGAGCATGGTGAGAGAGCGAGAAAGCAGAGAGAGAGAGAGAGAGAGAGAGAGAGAGAAAGCGAGAGAGAGAAGCTAGAGTCGTTACCATATATCCGTAGCTCGTAGTCGTCTGGGTCCCGACGGGATCACAGTAGTGTGACAATCCGAGACCTGAAAAATCTGGGTTATTCCCGGGTTTGTTGCGACTTACCTCCACCATAGACTGTGGACACGTCCAAGATGAGGCACAGGATGATACTGGACAGCATTGAGAGGCTGGAAATGGCTTTTACAAAGCGAGATGGCTAAAATGACTTAGAAAGCTTCGAAACTTGGAGAAAACAGCTTCAAACGCCTCGGCAAAAATGCGTAAACATAAAAACAATTTTAACGTCTTAGGTCTTAAAAACTCCGAAAGCATGCCGAAGGGCTAGAATACATGACTTGGGAAACTTAAGACGGGCTTGGTGAGCTTGGAAACCCGGAAAAGGTAAACGAATCCATTAAAGAGCTTCTAGAGCTTAACGAGCGGCTTCGGAAGCTTGAAAGTTTAGAATAATTCAATTTATTAGCATGCAGAGCGCAAAAATCAGCTGGAGCTTTGACTTGCTTCTGACAGGCTTGAAAGCTTTGTAAGCTTCGAAATGGACTGCAAAAAGTCGGTCAAGAACCCAACCCGAAAATCACATTTCGAAGCCGCGCACCACCCACAGAAATTCACTCAAAAAGCCGCGCCGTGAAATTTGCACGTGTTGCATGCGAAAATGGGGCTCAGGGAAAGGAAGCGGAATTGGGTAACGATTACTTCCTTCTTGTGACGAAAAGGGGGAAGGGAAGGGAATATTGTTGACTTTTCAGACGAAAGAACTGAACGGCTTATCGATTAGGGAATGACGTGCCCAGGCAGGTGAGGAGGAAAGAGGGAAGTTCAGCAGGTTCAAAACATGGGTTATTCAAGGGGTTGTGAGGAGAGAGAGAGAGAGAGACCGAAAAAGGTAGTGAGAGAGACAGAGAGATAGGAGGAAAAGTGAGAGTGAGCGAGAGAGAAAGAGACAGAGAGTGAGAGATAGAGCAGAGAGTGAGAGGGAGAGTTAGAGCGAGAGATGAGAGAGAGGGAGAGAGAAAGTGATAGAGCGCGCGAGAGAGGGTATGCCACCCATTAGTGTCCGAATACAGCCGTTTCGTACCAACAAGGAGCCACGGCCTGCGGCAACATCGATTTTCCCAATCAGAAGGTCTTCAGATGGAGGCTGATAAGGGCTTCGCCTCCCCGTGCCATAGCTTCCCCTATGTTTTTCATCACTCCCCCTCTCCCCAGGTGCCGAAATCGATGCAAAAACAGATCCCGGCCAGTGCTAACGAAACCAAAAAAACCAGAAACAGATCCCCTAACGCGGTGGCCGCGCCGAGACACGCTAAGCGCGCATGCTCCCTTTCATTGCGTAGTAGATTACGCCCCGTTCGGAAAGTGCGTTGCGTGCCGCGTCGCGGATACGCTGATTAATAATCCGTAGCCTCGGCTATAACCTTAAAGTAAGCTTTTTTTGGTGTATAGCTTTCAGCAAACCACAACTTTTTCTTCATTCGTCAGAACCAGATTTATTGCAAGAAAAAAAGCACAAAAATCCATATATCCTAGTTTCAATCAATATTCGCGCTCCTCCTCCATTGGCAACAGATTGTAGACGTCGGCTCGTCGACGGCCAAGCGTTCCGCGTTTCCTAAACGTTCCGTATAGCTACTATTGACGGATACGGTACTTTCGCTTTGCTCCTATTGACGCTAATTTGATTGTCCGTTCCGTTCTTATCCACAATACCGAATAAAGTAATTAGGTGTTGCTCGAAGAAACGATTACGATATTTCCGTTTCATTACTTTTTTACACTGCAACTGAATTATGACGTATTTATACCTCAGATAGCGCCAAATAAGCCACAATGGTATCGCTAGCGAGACGAACGACACGATCCCAGCCAGCATCCATTGCCCGCATCTAAATCAATGCGTTACGGTGGAAAATAGTACTTTTTAGGCAACCTGGACATCCAATCGGAACCGCCAACTGGTATGGAAGATTTTTTGGGTGGTATTCGTTCTAAAAAGTGATAAAATTGTGTTTTTACTCTTTCCAGCGCGATTCAATAAAATCCGGTGATTTTTAATATAAAAATAAATGAAAAACTACCGTATTTTGAATGACTGGAAAATATCGCGTAGTCAGCTCTAGGTCAATCGGTTTTGCTTTTTCCCTCGAGCTCGGACGCTTCCGTAATTTCCTGTCGTAATCGATTCCCGAGCTATCTTTTTTCGGTTTTTCCTCCTCCTCCGAATAGTCCAAAACCTTCTTCGACTTTTTCTTAGGCTTGACTTCGGGCTCGACTTCATTTTTCGTCGGGTTTGTCGGCTTGGCCTCGGTTTTCGCTTCCATTTCCCGGCTTTTCTGGGCTTTCTTCGGCTTAGCTTCCGCTTCAGCTTCCTCGCTTCCAGCCAGGATTGCCTTCAATCGATCGGCCTTCTCATCTATCGCCTCATCGACGGCTTCTTCCTCATCCTCATCCCAATGCTTTCGAGATGCCTTCTTTTTCATCGTTTTATTGGGGGTTTTCTGAAGCTGTTTAGCTTTCTATATAAAATGAAATAGAACGAGGGCATTCAATTACAAAAAAATCCAAAAAGCTTCAAGAAAAATGGCATAAGATAAACATGGATAAGCGTGAGTATCAGCCAAGCCAAACCGAAGCCTTAGTCAAGCTAATCAAGTGAGGTGAAGTCAAGCCAAGTCAAGCCGCCTGATGAGCTAAGCCAAGTCAAGCGACGGCAATCCAAGCAGAAACCTAAGTCTATGTTTAGCTCAAAGGTAAGCCAAGCTCAAGCCAAGCCAATGGCTTTTCCAGCTAAACCCGCCAAAATCGATCCCAATCTACGCAATGTCTTTTCCCGGTCCTATCAGCCAATAGGTCCCTGTCTTGATTTGAATGGCAGGCGCGCGGGCGGCCGTTTGGTTTTTCCGAGTTTCTGCCAAAAATCTAGGCAGAACTTGAGTTCCGAAGCAATCCTCTGGATGCCAGTTTTGAGTGCACATATCATCTTCTTGAATGGGCTATCATCTCGAAAAGTTCTACAGTAACCCGTCGATTTATTCAAAATCCCGAAAGAAAAATCAATAATTCTGCGGTATCACAAATTGTCGTCGATTAGATGGGCATTCGGTGGTTTGTATTCTTTACGGCAGAATGGGCAGCCGCCCTTCTCCACGACGGCCATCTCCCATTCATCAGCTTCGAATAGCTGAAGCAAGGTTCTATCGGTCTCTCCCCTCTCTCTCTCTCTCTCTCTCTCTCTCACCTTACAACAGCTCGGACATTGCGCAATCGCAAAGTCGGCATCACATTGAAGAAGTATCGCGTTGGAAGCGGGTCACGCTGCTCGGAAATTACGACCTGAAAAATCACAAATTCTTGAAGTCCCGAAAAATCCCTGCTAGCCTGCCCCTCCCTGTATTCCTTACATGACCCTTGTCCATCTTCTCCAGTTGCTTTAGGCTGCAGATCACAGGAGAACCGCGCTTCTGAAAAACTGGTTTAGGAGGATGAAAGAGACAGAACCAGAGCGAGGGGGAGAGAGAGAGAGAGAGAGAGAGAGAGAGAGAGAGAGAGAGAGAGAGAGCGAAAGAGAGAGACCCTACCGTCTCTTGTATCGGACTGTAGTCGGGCTGGCCCATCGGCGGCTCGGCCAGAATGTGGAATTTCGCGTCGCCGGAGCTGACCCCCGGCTCGACGAAGAATTCGACGAGGGGAAGGACTTCTGTAAAATAGAAAAATTCCATTATTTACCTAATAACGAACCTAACGTTGCGAAGCTATAGACGTAAGGTGTCGAGCAGTGCACACATTTCTGGGTTACGGTAAGCGGGCTGGTGATTCCGCACCTGAAAAATGTGGTAACGTATCTCTCTCTCTCTCACTCTCTCACTCTCACTACAACTCTCTCTCTCACTCTCACCTATAACACATTGGCAGCAAATCCTCTCGATCCGTAAACGGCTTTGCCCTCACTTTTACCGTAGCCACCTCCACTAGCTTTTCGTACCTGAAGTTCATTTACCAATTTATAGCTTTTTTTTACAAACCTGGGCGGCAACCTCAGCTGCGTCAACCGATCCAGCCCCTCCCTCGCCAGCTTGTACGCTCCCAACTCTTGCCCCAGCTTCGCCAGTGTGTAGTTGATCATGCTTAAAGAGATGAGGACGGCATCTGTTGAACCCCCCTTGGGGAGGGGGGGTTCAACAGGTCCCGCGGCGATCTCGCGCGAGAGAGGGCTCCCAGAGGAGAGGCGCAGAGACATTTTCTTTCCCTCGCGTAATCGATTGACTTATGCCGCCCCTATCTCTTTAAAGATTTGTTCGCTCTTTCCCTTTCTTTCTCTCTCTCTCTCTCTCTCTCTCTCTCTCTCTCTCTCTCTCTCTCTCTCTCAACTCACACTTTCGATACGCGCCGATACGTCGGATAGGGTGATAGGAAGCGAGCAGCATTCAGCAGGGTAGTAACAGGCAATCGGGTAAATGGCTGACTGCAGAAGCGGTGAATCCACTCGAACACCCAGTAGACGTCGGCGTCGTTCAGGGCTTGTCTGAGGTATGGAAGCGTCAGTGCGAGAGAGGGAGAGAGAGTGAGCGAGTGAGTGAAGGAGATCGAAACAAGCTTACAGAGCCTTCGGCAAAATCCCCGGATTCTTGTGGACCCGATCCAAATACTGGAAGCCGAGCAGCCAGTTGTAGTATCCGGCGTCGGAAAAACTGGAAATGTCTAATTTTTATGAATTTCTTGATCCCAAACAGTTTATGCTAGCTTGCCCATCAGTAATTCCTAGATGATTTTCTTTTGGTTCACACCCTGAACCCGAGCCGGATAATTAAAATCCGGAAAAATATCTGCTAGCCTGGCTGATTCAAGACGTTCGGAGAAACTCCCAAAGAATCTCTGCTAGCCCTCCCCACCGATCCTCCATAATTGCGTTCTCCGTCAGCTGCTCCAACACTTTCAAAGCTTCTGCGTCGCTTCCGGCCAGGTGGAACGCTGTAAGGTGCTTGGTCTCCTGGTCTCTCTCTCTCTCTCTCTCTCTCTCTCTCTCTCTCTCCCCATACCCTGTTGCGCTTCATCGAATTTGTCTTGTTCCGCGAGACTCCGCGCGTACGGCAGATAGACGGTCTCTTTGAATTTTTGGGTATCGCTCCGCGATGGCAAATGCCTGGAATAGGATTAATTTATGGGATTCTAGAAAAGCCCACATCGTTCCAGTGCTTGGCGGAGACGTGCATCTCCAGAAGGGATTGGACATCGCCAATTTCCTGAAAAATTACGGTTTTTAAGCGAGAAAGAGAGCGAGAGAGAGAGAGAGAGCGAGAGAGAGAGAGAGGGAGAGGAAGCGGAGATAGAGAAATCGAGAGGGCCCAAGCGAAATAGAGAGTGGTAGCGAGCGAGAGAGGGAGAGAGAGAGATACTAAGACTCACCACAAAAATCTTGCTGGCCACCCCATAATCCTTTTTCGAGATAAAATACGCTGCTAGCCGACGCAAATTCGTATGATCCGTCCGTTCGATACGCCGTAGCGCATTAATGGCCCTAAAAACACAACATCCATCCAACTCAACGTTTCTCTAAAAATCGCTGCTAGCTTGCCCATCCCCGTCGCTCGGGCACGACTTCAACAGGGACATAGCCTGTCCCAACCCCGAAGATAACTCACAAATCGTGCCAGTCATGCTCCTCGATCAGCATGATGGCCTTCTCGAAGTCGCCGGAAGCGATGAACATCTCGGCAGCCACCTGAAAGCCAGAAAAACATTGTTAGAAAATTTATTTTAAATCCAAATCTGCTGCCTTTTCAAAATGTCACAATTCAAAATCCCGCGCCCCTGCTACCTTACCTTTGGCTCGTTGCTGTCGCGGGCCCAATCCGCTCTCTTGCGCAACAGCATCCGCTGCGTCTCCCCCGAGGTGTTCGCCATGATTTCCTGGAAAATTGAATTTTTTAGTCTCGAATTTGTCAATCACAGCTTTAAAGTTTCCCCAGACTGAAAAGTAATCCTATTTTCCTTGAATTTTTACCTGTGCCTCGTCAAACATTCGCATATCCGTGTAGAGCTCGAGGGCTTTTTGTTCTTGGCCGTTTTGTCTAGAATGAAGATGGAAGTTTGTAGTTTATTGACATCTCTCTCGTCTCTCTCTCTCTCTCTCTCTCTCTCTCTCTCTCTCTCTCGCTCCGCCAAAAAAAAACCTACTTGTAAAGCTGGGCACACTCGTGGAATTTGCCCTGGTAGGCGAGCAGCAGGGCGCGCACATTTAGGTCACTCTCGCCTCGCTTTTGCATTTGCTGAAGAGAGGCTTAGGATTCGCTTGGCTTAGCTTAGGCTTAGCTTAGGCTTAGATTAGGCTTAGCTTAGGCTTAGCTTAGGCTTAGCTTAGGCTTAGCTTAGGCTTAGCTTAGGCTTAGCTTAGGCTTAGCTTAGGCTTAGCTTAGGCTTAGCTTAGGCTTCAGCTAACTACGCTAATAAACCCACGATAATCGACGCGATCAACGTCAGCTTGCGGAGATCGCGATTCCGGGCAAAGCACTTGGCCGCCTGCTGCAGTTGCAGGTGGGCGAGGCACTGGAATCGTAGTTTTTTGCCTTCCCGACCCCTTTAAAGTACTGTCCTTTTTAGTTCCTTTAACAAATCTATCCCTCATGGCCAAGCCGCGACACGCAACGCGCCCGCCCGCTGCGTTGCGTAGCGCGGCATAGACGAAACCCATAGTTGTGACCAGGCCCGTACCGGTGCCGAGATTTCGGGGGCACCCACCCAAAAATTTTTGACGACCTCCCCCGGTCACCACTTTCAAAACATTCGAAAATAGCGACCAAAACAGCGCCGCAGGCGAAAAAAATTAGAAAACCGCGTTTATAACGCTTAAATTCTCGTGAAAACACATCGGAAACGGCGCCGCGCGCAAGCGAAATTTTGTTCAGCAAAAATGGTGCACTAATGAAAACGAGCGCCGCAGGCAAAAAATTTTAGAAAAATAGGTTTTCTAGAAGTAAAAATCGTTTTGAAACAATGATAAACAGCGCCGCAGGCAGAAAAATTTTGCGAAAAAATCATAAGGGTCCCCCTTATGAACTTTTCGGACCTCGACCGATTTCGGGGGCCGGTGCCCCCCCTCGTACGGGCCTGGTTGTGACTTACAAACCCCTTTAATCACCAAACTCACCGATTTGCCGAGATCGTCCCAATCCTCCCTCGTCACCCCATGGCATGCCACCTCATAGGCCGTGCTGAAATTTGCATATTTTGTCTAGAATTTGAAAATTAGCATAAAGCCGTCTCATCTATTATCATAGCTACTCAGCATACGCATGTCCGGAAATGCGCGCTGACTACAATATATAAGCCTTTTTGGCCAAAATCGCGACATTCGAACCAGCCATGGCCACCGTGGATCGTCGCTTCTGCGCCCTCTGCAACTCGTCCATCGGTGAGGAGGTGGGTTATTGACCTTGCTAGGCTTTTCAAAACATTTTTGGTTCACGGGTTCCTTTCTCTGATTTCAGGCGGTCGTCGCGATGAATCGGCTGTGGCATCCGGACCATTTCGCGTGCCACCAGTGCAAGCGCCCCATCAAGCAGACGTTCCAGGCGGCCGAGAATCACGCTTACTGCGTGCAGTGCTTCGCCCAGAAGTACAACCCTAAGTGTGCCGGTAAGGGCGGTTAGAGAGAGAGAGAGAGAGAGCTAATTTTCTGGCGTTATGCTGCGCACTGTCGGGTACTGCAGCACAGTGTATACTAGCGTAGCGCGTCGTAGAGTAGCGTGCTCGTAGCGTAGCGTAGGTTATCGTAGAGTATCCTATCGTAGCGTATCATAGCGTAGCGTGCTGTAGCGTATCGTAGCGTAATGTATTCGATCGTAGCGTAGCCTATCGTAGCGTATCGTAGCGTAGCGTAATGTATCGTAGCATAGCGCGTTAAGTATCGTAATGTAACGTATTGTAGCGTAGCTTATCGTAGAAAATCGTAGCGTAGTTTCTAGTACCATGCCTTCTTTTCAGGCTGCAAGACGACCTTGGTGGACACTTGCCTGATCGCGCTCGACCACCACTGGCACCCGTCGTGCTTCACCTGCACGTCGTGCAGCCGCCCTCTGCCCAATGGAGAGTACTACTTGGTATGCAATTTCTCTCTCTGGCTCTCTTTCTCTCTCTGTCTCTCTCTCTCTCTCGCTCCCCTCCAATTCCCTCTCTCCAGGTTGACGACAAGCCCTACGACCTCGACTGCCACTGGGCCAAGCGGCTTGAGAAGCGTGAGCACCAGGAGCGTGATGGTGTCGTCCCGAACGGGCCAAACTGCCGCCAGAAGCCCTATTAGAGCTGTTTCTCTGCGTCTCCCTTATCTGCTCCCTCTCTCTTCCCTTACATATCCATCCAACCGTTATCCCTGCCCTCCCGCATCCTTCGCCTCAATTCTTCCGATCTCCATTGTGCTTCTTTTACCGGGTCTGTAGAAATAAACGGTCTGCATTTTCGGTTTGTACAGAATGCTACGCATCCCGCCGTACAGAGGAGCTTTGCGTAGCAACGTAACGGGAATTGGAGCCGTGACGTACTACACCGGCGAGAAGAGAAGGAGTTGTGCGTAGTACCGTATTAACCTCAGGAGGCGACGCGTATCAACCTACAGGGAAGAGCGGATAAAGATTTCTGGAATCATGCAGGGAGACCTTGTGTACTACCGTACCTTGGCGTAAATAGAAAGGTTTCGTACTGCCAAAACATAAAATCCAAGAGAACCACAGTACCCTAACGTCGATAGGGGCTTTCCGTACTACCATATCTACGTACATAGAATTGAAGCGTACTAGAGTACCCCAGCTGTCCGAGGACCTTCCGAAAGCTTAGCTACGCAGATATTCGCAGGTAGTACGTACACAAACTCCTTGCGGTCGACGAAATGGCGCACGTGCGACGCGAACGATATCTCGACGGCCGTCATCGTGTACATGTGCAGACAGTAGACCATATTGCCCGTGAAGCCGACGACGAAGCCCTGCAAGGTTTTTTGTTGCTCTCTCGCTCTCTCGCGCTCTCTCGCTCTCTCTCTCTCTCTCCACTCACCATCATTCTCTGCGTCGTGCTGGGCCCCATCCCGACGCGCACCGTCAGGATGCCGTTACCTAAACGTCGCTCTGTAAGCCATTCAGCAACTGCGCATCGTACGGTATCGTAACTTTCCGTAATTTGTAAAATGACGTACTTTGTGAAATAATATCAACTTACCCGAGTAGCAGATGAGATTCTCGTACTCCGTGTTGAAGGCGATGCTGTTGCAGTTTGGCTCCTGAATTTGGTGGGGTGAAAAAAGTTTCTGAATCGGGATTAGAACAAACATGAACCTCAACCTGCTCCCGAGCTCGAGCTTAATCCCTAGGCATAAGCCTAGGCCCTCAAAAACTGACCTGAAACAACACTTCCATCGTCTTCAAATTGAACACCATCGCGATCCCGTTCTCATCGACCAGCCCCAAAAATCTCCTGTAAAAGCAGTTCTACCGTACTCTGGAAAGTACCGTACTGGGTAGAATCGCATTGTCTGGTGTTTTCTTACCGTGATAGAGATAAATCGAGGCATCGCACCGAATTCGCGAGCTTCAGAATGGGCACCGGAAACGGGTTGTCGATGAAGAGCTTTTGGATCTGAAGGGAATGTTGGAGATCCACTAGGCCTTTCCTACCTGACCATCTCGGAGTCCAAGAAGGATTGTCTCACGTCCGGCCGGCCCGCCGGAAACCTGAAATTTGGAAAAATTAGGCAAAATTTCTCAAAAATCGTTGCTCGTATGCCTCAAATTTCTGCTAGTAGTAAGCCCCGATCCAAAGACTGTGAATTTTCAAAGAATCTTTATTGCTTTCCCGTCCCGCAGAGGAATCCCATCTACAAGGATCTCTGCTAGCTTGCCCGACACACAGAACCCTCCAAAATCTCACCTTAATGTACCGTATATGAGTCTCCGCGATCCATTCCCGTTGCCGTAACCCTTTATGATCATAACAATCGAGCTTCTGCTCACTACACATCAATACGTGCCGAGCAGTCACCACCTAAAAGCTCTTTCAATTCCGCTACTCTCAACCCACCAGCAATGAACACTCGAACGATTTGAGAATCTTGTCGACCAGCTTGTACTCCAGCGGCTCCCCCGGGCGATCCCCGCTGACCTGCTTGTAGATGTTGATCCGGTCCGAGAGTTGCACCTGAAAATTCGGGGTGTTTAAAGGGGCTGTGAAGCCGGCGTGATGATTGGTCAGCTCTTTCTTGGCTTCCTTCTTGGTCGGAAAATGTCGAAAAAGCGACACGGTCAATGGCGACAACCAAAACCAGGACGCAAAAATCCCGACCATCAAAAAATAACGACAGCCAAAATCTCGCCATCGATGCTGAATTGTAGTGCAACTTTATTGAGCTTGTCGGGATTTTGGCTTTCAGGACTGGCATATCGGCACTCTGATGGGAATGATTTTATCCTGCCGGCACTTTGCTGTCCGTATTTTTGTGTTGGGAACATGACTGTTGGGATTAAGGTTATTTTTGATGTCGGCATTTTCGTTGTCGATATTTTGGCTTGAACTTACCGCCAGCTTATTGTCGCAGATGGCGACCTTCTTCACCAGATCGTAACACTTGATGCGGACTTGGGTATGGCGGGATAGGTGCTGAACAACTACATCCGTCATCCCCTCGCGGTTCGCGTATCTGAGCACGAGTTTTCATTGCGTAATGGGATAAAAACTCTAGGCAACAGACTACCGACTAAAGTTCGTAAGTTACCTCTCGTTATGCAACCCGTGTACGGTGCTGAACATGAGCTGATAGCACGCGATCGTCCCGTCGATGCAGCCGGCTAGAATTTCGTAATTAAGGCTCAGGCTCATGCTCAGCTTACCGACGAGTATCATCGAATTTGGGCGGATGGCTAGCGACCATATCCAAGTGTCCATCTGCGAGATCGTGCCAAGCTTGATCCCTAAATTCCGGCAAGTTTTCAGGCACCTCCTAAACGGTCTCTGCTAGCCTGCCCTTTCTTACCCATTCTCGTGTAGAGCATTGCCGCCTTGTTCGACCCGCCGATCACCAGGAATTGGCCCGCGTTGAAGTATTGGAGGCAGGTGGGGTCGTAGTTGAGCTCGCGTTCACGGGCGTTTACCTAAAAATATTGGGTTAGTGTCATGCTCCCTTTAAAACCAACGTCACCACTGCCCTTACTCTCTTTCTATCGATCTTGCAAGGAAACGTTGGCTTTACGTGAGAGATCGTGATAGAGAGGAGTAATAGAGAGGAGTAAGAGAGAGGAGTAATAGAGAGGAGTAAGAGAGAGGTGGAGCAAGATTAAAGTCGGCAAGCACGAGAACGAGAGCGATATAAACTACAAAACCACACCTTCATGCCCTCCAGATCATAGAACGAGATCGTCCGCGCCCAGTCCGTAATGCAAAGAACCTCGCCGGTCGGCCTAAATTTGATTTTTTAATGTTGACTTGAACTTAAAACTTTTAAGTGTCTTTATAAACAATTATATTCATTACAAAATTATCAATTTCATCTGCTCATCGAGCTCCATCTCTAGATCCAAAAAACTCACTGATCCGCATATCGTGAACTGCCATCCTCGGCCCTAAACAATCTCCTCAACTACGCAACGCTGCGACTTACACCTTTGGCGGGCTGAATCCCAGGGCCCAAATCGGCTCGCCGCCCGGCCTCTCGATCTTCACGTGGTGCTCCTGCTGGCTCTGGCAAAAAAAAATGGCTGTTTTATAGGAGCTGAGAAGTCTTTAAAGCCAAGTTATAATGTGGGCAAGCTCTGAGTCCTTTGACTTCACAGCTCCTTTAAATGACCATACCGGCTCGTTGCTGAGTACGTCGGTGATGCGCTTCATGTAGACGGCCCCCTCAAACGTGCCGATCGCGAACATACTGTAGAAATACGGGTCATCAAGTTCAAGGAGGACGGCTTAAAGGGACCGGCAAGCTTCGATCCTCGGGAACCCGGCTCTTGGGATTTTAGCTTGTCTGTTTTTGGGTGTCAGTATCTCGGCTACCTGCCATCCTGATTCCAGGCGGCCGACGTCGCCCTGCCCTGCACTCGAATCTTGGCCACATTCGACTCCTCCCCAGACCAGATCCCTGAAATCTAACTGAGTTAAAGGACTTTGGCCTGTTGGGCCCATTAAAAGGGGGCCGTAGGGAGGACTAGCAGAAACCCTTTGCAAGCTCACCAAAATCCGAAAAGGCAACCGACAGCAGATATGGCTGTGTGGGGGAGAAGATGACCTTTTGAATCGCCTCGTGGTGCCTAAAATTAATCCATTTTAGACATCTAGACCATTTTAAACCGCTTAGACTTAAACTTAAACATAAAAGCGTTATTTTTTAGCAGTGTCTTCATTTTAGGCATACAAGGTTGGTCCCTAAAACTGCCGCATTGTTCAGCTCCATTGTAATATCACCCCGAAAATTCCCGAAATGCCCCCCGGTCTTCCAGAATTCAAATTCGATTAGCCGGAAATACACAGCCCTGGCGCGAAAGCGCACCCCATTCTACCGTAACCCCGATGAATGGACCCTTAAGGGGCGGCCAGCTGGGTCTCGCATGGAATCTATCACACTTTCTGTCTGTCTGTATGACTCTCTCTTTCTCTCTCTCTCTCTCTCTCTCTCTCTCTCCTTCTCTCTCTCTCTCTCTCTCGATCCTCTGTGACGAATTCGTTTTGCGTAAAAACAGGAAGTATGGGATGTTTCGAGACACAGCCACGCTATAATATGCCTAATACTAGTCCATGGAAGGGTAGGGAGGCCTGAATATTCAATGAGCATGAACTTTCGGGCTCAAAAAAGAGTCCACTCCCGATGAGTAGTAATGATTAGGGATTGGTTTTGTCTAGGCTTACTATTAGGCTTGGGTTTCGATGTGGCAAAACTTTCAGGTCCACGGCGAGAGCAAGAGAGAGAGAGATAGAGAGCGGGAGGAAGACGGGAGAGAGAGAGAGAGAGAGAGAGAGAGAGAGAGAGAGAGAGAGCAAATATCCAAGCCACTCACGTGTATTTCAAGGTCCCCTCGTGCTGCTCGGTCCAGAGTATTACCGACTTATCCGCGCTGCCAGTCGCGAACCGTTGCCCATCGTACGACCAGGCCACCGTATAGACAAGGTCTTTGTGTCCTGAAATTGCTATTTTAGGGGAACGAGAGAGAGAGCGAGAAAAAATAGAGAGCGAGAGATAGAGAGAGTGAGAGAGGGAGAGAGTGAGTGAGTGAGAATTGTGCTTTTACCTACCTTTCAACGCCTGCAACAACGTGCCGTCCACACCGTCGTAGATCAGCACCCGCGTGTCGGCCGCCACGAGCAGCTCGGACCCGTCCGGCTTGAACGCCATGTCGTAGATGCATGAACTGAAAGGGTTTCTCTCTCTCGCTCTCTCTCTCTCTCTCTCTCTCTCTCGCTCGCTCGCTCTGCCAGCCAAGAGCACCTCTCTTCCCTTCCCAGCCCCTTTAGACGTTTTCTAAGATTTCGAACCAATCTAGAGTTTTTGGCCCTGTGTCAAATTTTCGCATCTGCCTTCCCGGTCCCTTTAATCTGTCAAATACCCGCCCAGATCCACCCACAATTTACTATAAAAAATCTCCACGAACTAGGAAGTACGCTACGCAACTAACGCCCCTCTTAAGCCCAAAATTTCAATGACTGTGCCTTATTAATCAAATTATCACAAGGCGGCGCTCACGAGGGTGGGGGCCTAGCCGCTCTGGGTCCTTTGAGCCCTCTCCTTACTCCCGAGGACTACATAAGGGCCCAGGGGTCGGCCCCGAGGACTCAATGCCCCACACGGCACCCCTGGCCGCCCTCCTCGCCTCCCTCCTCATCGCCATGGTACGGTAGGAAGATGGGGGCTTTTCTAGATGGGTCGAATTTCATCAATTTGAAGCTGGCCAAAAAGCAAAAAATTATCGCCGTGCGGGGATCGAACGCCGGCTCTACGCCTAGGAGGCGAGCGCTTTACCAATGAGCCAAAGGGGCAGCAACCGCAGCGGTGGTAAAAGCCATGTTCTCCTTTTGGGTCGACCAATCCGCGCGCAGGATCGGCTCGTCTTTGGTACAAATGTTCTATCCAGTGCGCCGGCTACCGTACCACTGCCTACCCCTAGTCTACTGTAATTCAATAATTGCCATTTAGGTGAGGGGGGAGTGCTGTCCGCGGGAGGACCGCTCGAACTTCTGCACCATATTCACCATGCTGTCGCCCACCGAACAGAACGAGGTCGTCGGCTACTTGGGTCAGTTCAACATTTTTTTTTTGATCGTGCTCCCCTCGAATTATCGTTTTAAAAGGTCATGTCATGTCTAAAACGAAGCCTACCTTTTCCAAAGCTGAAGCCTAACCTTTATGCTGAACGCCCCCAACTTGTTGCTCATTTTTTACGCCATAACTAGCGTGTCGGTGGTCTAGAAAATTCAGGAAAACCGCCCCCATCCTTTGTCTAGGATCACCACGCAAGGGTTCATGCCCCAATTCATGGTTAAAGGGTGTGTGACAGCTCGGAAAAAACCCCCCAGTCTGTTCCAAAAGAGAAAATTTTTCGCGAGAAGACTGGGTTCAAGCTAAGCCTAAACCTAGGCCCAAGCCTAGTGGTCGAAGCTCAGACCTAAATCTAGGCACAAAGTTAAGCTTAAGCCTACGAAGCCTAAGTCTCTCCTAAGCCAAAACCCCAGCCTAAGCCTAGCTAAAGCCTCGAAAATGCCAGGTGACAACTGCCAAGGCGACGCCGAGGAGGCCATCCGCGTCATGGAGAAGCGCAAGCCAAACTTCATGCGATACGGGCGGTCACGTAAGCGGTACTCCGATTACAGTACCCCCATTTAGCCAACATCGAGATGGGCAAGAAGGGCTCCGACCCGAACTTCCTGCGATTCGGCAAACGCTCCAAGCCTAACTATTTGCGCTTTGGTAGGCCATTTGAATGGGGCGGCCTTGCAGGAATTATTGAGGAATCCGGAAGTCCGTAACAACGCCTTGATTTCCAGGCCGCAGCGACCCGAATTTCTTGCGATTCGGCAAGAAGGCCGCCGGCTCCGACCCGCACTTTTTGAGGTTTGGCCGATCGGCGGAGCCAAATTTCTTGAGGTTTGTGCGTCTTTAAAAGGGATTTCTTGGTAACAGATACAATACAGATACAACTATCGATACAGTAACAGCAAAAACTCGCTGCAGACTGCCATGCTTCTAGTCTACGCCTAAACCAAGCATAAGCATACGTCAGGCCTGAGCCAAAGGCTGAGCTTAACCCTATGCCTAAGCCAAGCCTAAAGCTAGCCAGCCTCCGCGGTGATTTTTGAGGTGTTTTTGAGCAAGAGTTGCATGTTTTCCGGCTTTTCCTCACCTCGTTCCCCCAGGCGTCTCCCGCAAGTCCCGACCCATTCAAATGACCCCCGTCCGGCTCATCATTTACCCAGCAGCCCATCCATTGTCAACGCGTGTAGTCGTCGGCAGGGCATGGCGCTGAACTTTGCCTGCGACAAGAAGGGGGGAAAAGCCCCCGGAGATATGCATTCATTTTGATTATGGGGGCAAGGGGATTCCTGGGATGCTCGGGTGTAGTATGTGATGAAAACGACATAGATAATGGGGTTCTTTGAACCAGCAAAAGGCATAGAGGCTTAAAAATGAGGCTCGAAAACCCCCTAAAAACCTAGGAAAGCCTAAAATTATAGACACTACCAAGTTTAACAAGATAGGGTCAAAAAATGAGCGCTGCCGCGCGCGCACCGAGTAATGACGCCTAGAGGAGCTACTTGTAGTCGGTTTCCTACAATCGCACAGAGTCAAAACGTGTAAAGGACCGCCGCGTAGTGTCGGAAACAACCGCGCAGCCTATTTATGGAGAGCCCAATTTCCAATTTTGCAGATTCGGCCGCTCGGACAGCTTCGACCGCGAGGAGCGCAAGCCGAATTTCCTTCGATTCGGCCGGAAGTAGAAAAAGCGGGAGGGCAAAACCAAGGGGGGCCCGCGATGACGGCCTACCCCCCACAACTACCCCCACTATAAATCGGTGAGTTTAGGCTTAAGTTTGGGCTTAGGCTTAGGTTAAGGTTTTTGCCGGTATTTTCGAAACTATTGCCCTTCACGCTGCACCTAAATGTCTGAAAACATTGTCGCGAGGGCAACACTTCGAAATGCAAGGCCATTAAAAGTACGCGTAAATACTCGCTGCGAATTAGCGTCGAAAGCAGCCTGGGGGATTCGCCAAATTAAAAAGGGGCAACATTAGTTCCATTACATAAATATCACGAATGACTGTTTTAGCCATAAAATCGCAATAAAAAGCAAAAAGCAAGCCCGAAATCCGCCAGGAATCGAACTTTCGACCCTAGCTTCCCGGTCTTTCACCTTACCAGTTGCGCCACGTTTTTATCAATAAAATGAAAATTACGATGAAGCCTTCCAAAAAAATCCATCATATTTTCAGCAAAACAAAGTCACCACCCCGTGAGTGATGCCGAGGACTCGTGTGTATAAAATGGGCAAGCCGGGCTCCGCGCGCACCGCACACCACCCAATCCAACCGCGCCATATTCTTCTTTTTTGTCTTTGGTTTTTCCGAGACTTTCCACTTCTTTTTATTGTTTTTGTGCACCAAAAAATTATTCGCGTTCTGGGGCCGAATAAAGTGTTTATGGGTTTGGGCGTATCGTCACGGATTTTGGGCACGAGATCAGACGAAAAAAAGGAAACCTACGAATTTGTATCCCTAAAAAATTCCGAAATACCCCTAAAAGCCTACGGTATTTCGAAGCATTACCACCTAACCCTGAATTAATAAAATTCTATCTCCAAAGCAAGAAAACGAATTTTTAGAGATTAGAACCTTGCAAAAAAATGTTGCAAGCGTTAAATCTGACTTTTTAAGCCTTGTTAAGACGGCCCACGAATGTAAAGTCTTTTTGAAAACATCTATATACCAGATGGTTCCAGTCGCTTCGCGACTGTAACCATCTGGCCTTCGGGCTACCCTTCATTTCATACACCATCACATCCATCCCTACCTCTCCCAAAATACCCCCGCTAATGACTACCGATACCTCCCCTAGCCGAAATCCCCTTCAAAAACTACCTAAATACCTTCCTGATAGCTTCAGATACCTCCCCTAGCCGAAATCCCCTTCAAAAACTACCTAAATACCTTCCTGATAGCTTCAGATACCTCCCTGTTGGAGGACTACATCCCAGATCCGAATACCTAATTAGCATACGCTACATTTCCGGTTCTATTGTCCCCCATTTGTCGATGCTCCCCCTCATTGTTCTATATCTTTCCCCCACCGCTTGGTCTGCCCTCTACCTGGAATAAACCATTCGTCTACCTCACCCACAACTACAACAACTGGCGAGCAAGGATTCGAAGACATGGCTGACCCCGAGATCAAGGCTATGCTGCAGCAGCTGACGGCGATGATGGCTGCAGGACAGGAGCGTGAGAAGAAGATGGAGGCACAGCTCGAGGCCTACCGCGCTGCGACCCAAACGCACATGGGCACAGTTAGCGAAGACCCTCTGGGTAAATCCGCAGGTCCAAGCCATCCCAGGCCTCTGGATGCGGTCGAGCTGAGCGCCCTTTGCTCACGACTCGTTCGGTTCGACTATGACCCATCCTTGGGTCTTACGTTCGAAAAGTGGCACGAGAGGTTTGTTAACCTCGTGTCCACGGAACCGCGCATCACTGAGGATAACAAGAAACACCTTGTTCTCAGTATGCTGGATGGCAAAGCCTATAGCCTCCTAGCGGATCACGAAAGACCAACGGAATTGTCTGCCGTGAAATATCCCGACATGATCAAGTCGCTGACAGACATGTTCGGTGAGAAAATGTCGCAGTTCAGTCGACGTTTTCTGGCATTCCGTGTGGCCAAAGCAGCCGACGAGGATATGCACTCCTACGCAGCACGCGTCAACAAGCTGTACGAGCTTGGTCGTGTCAAGGAGATGAACGAGGACGAGACGAAATGTCTGTTGTTCGTTGCTGGACTTTCCGATCAGGAAAATCGAGAGATCCGCAAGAGACTGTTGCACATTCTGGAGTCAAAGAATGGTGTCAAGTTGAGCGATTTGCTACGCGAATGCGATATGCAAAGTTCCCTGAATATGGATATGGTCGTTGAGCAGAATATGCAAAATGCCAACGTGAACCGGGTTCACCAGCAATCGGGTTTCCGAAAGAATTGGAAACGCGAGCGAGAGCCAACCTCTAGCAAGGGTTACTCGTCGCGACCGGAAACCAATGATCGGTCCCCGCGAGACAAGCGGAATGACAACTGTAATCGTTGTGGAAAGAGCGGACACTGGGCAAGAGAGTGTCGCGCAGACCCTGGCAATACCCGCGGTGCTAATTTTTCGAAGTCGAAAAATCACCAAGCCAAAGGCTGGAAGCCGAAGGTGAACATGGTTGTTCATATCAATGCCGTAGACTCGAGTCGGAAAGACGTCGAGCTCTCAATCGAAGGCGTTCGCTTCACTTTGCAATTGGATACTGGTGCAGCCGTCACCATCATCGATGAAGCTGTTTGGCGCAAATTGAACTGCCCCCAGCTGATTCCATCCAATATTCAATTACGCGCTGCAAATGGCGGTCCAATTGAAGTGCAAGGAAGCTTCGATACCAATTTCGAAGTGAAAGGCATTGTCGGTCATGGCAAGTGCTTTGTCACGAAGAACATCAGATTGATGGGGCTTGATTGGATAAATCAGTTGCCACAGTTCGCTTCGTGCTTCGATGAGCTGTGCGTGAACAAGGTCGCACTGAAAGAGTCAATGCTCGAGAAGGAGCTAGTCCTGAAGTACCCAAGTGTCTTCCAAGATGGACTGGGCTTGTGCACAATGGCCAAGGCTGAGCTTCAGCTGAAGCCTGATGCAAAGCCAGTTTTCCTACCGTTCCGACGGGTCGCGTATTCAATGGAAGCTGCCATTGAGAAGGAAATCGACCGACTTGTACAGTTGACGGTCCTCAAACCGGTCACTTACAGTCAGTGGGCCGCGCCCGTCGTACCAGTCAAGAAGAAGGACGGTACCATGAGACTTTGTGGTGACTTCTCCACAGGCTTGAACGAGGCGTTGGAGGATTACCATCATCCGCTCCCAACCGCCGAAGACATCTTCACCAAGCTGAATGGTGGACAGATCTTTTCGCAGATTGATCTGAAAGATGCGTACCTACAGATTGAGGTTGAGGCTGAGAGCCAAGAATACCTGACAATCCACACTCATAAGGGCTTGTTCCAATATCAAAGGCTGATATTTGGAGTCAAAACTGCACCCGGAATATTCCAGAAGATCGTGGATAACTTGATCGCAGGCCTGGACGGGACCGCTGCCTACCTGGATGATCTGTTGATCACCGGCCGGAACCAGGAGGAGCATGACGACAGGGTCCGTCGTTTATTTGAGCGAATCCAAGAGTTCGGATTGCGCGTCAAAATGGAAAAGTGCTCGTTCGGCCAGCCTTCGGTGAAGTATCTTGGCTTCATTCTTGATGCCCAAGGCCGAAGGCCGGATGGCCAACGCACGGCTGCGATAGCAAGTATGCCATCTCCTACCTGCCTCAAGGAAGTTGAGAGCTTTTTGGGCATGGTATCATTTTACCAGTCATTCATTCCTCGTATGCGGCAGATGCGCGCCCCGCTTGACGAGTTGAAGAGGAAGGACAAAAAGTTTGTCTGGCACGAGGACTGCGAAAAGGCTTTCCAGTCGCTCAAGGAGATTGTCATCTCCGACTTGTTGCTCTATCACTATGACGCCAAGTTACCCATTGTCGTCGCCGCTGATGCCAGTGAGCAGGGTCTTGGGGCGGTCATCACTCACAGATTTGCGGATGGGTCGGAAAAGGCCATCGCGCATGCCAGCAGGGCATTGACTGTGGCAGAGAAGAACTACAGCCAGATCGAAAAGGAAGGCTTGGCCCTCATTTTCGCGATTCGGCGCTTCCATCGATACATCTATGGAAGGCGTTTCGTGCTCCTGACGGACCACAAGCCCCTTTTGCCAATATACGGGTCGAAAAAAGGCATTCCGCAGCACACCGCAAATCGATTGCAGCGGTGGTGCTTATTGTTGACCAACTACGATTTCTCCATCGAATATCGTAACACGACCAAGTTCGGTCAAGCGGATGCGCTTTCCCGTCTGATTCCGCCAAAGGCTGAACCTGACGAAGACGTCGTTATTTCGCAGATAGAAGTCGACGTATCAGCAGTTTTTGAGGAAAAACTGAGCCGAGTTCCAATTTCGCACAAGGAACTTGCATCACAAACGGAGCAGGACTACCATCTTGGCACTGTGATTGAATATCTGAAAAGTGGAACGTTCCCAGACTGTTTGCCAGGCTCGTCTTTGTACGCCTTCAAAAGTCTCGTTTCCAACTTATCAATTCACAAGGGTTGCCTATTCCTGAAAGAGCGAGTTGTCGTCCCGAAGAGACTTCAATCGCGAGTCCTGAAAATGCTCCACGAAGGACATCCTGGCCAGACCAGAATGAAACTCCTTGCGAAACAATATGTCTATTGGATCGGGATGGATACAGACATCGACCGCATTGTCCGAGAATGCGAGGACTGCCAGAAAGCGCAGAAGATGCCTGTGAAAAGTGAATTGACCCCCCTGGCCTATTCCCAATCGTCCGATGGAACGCGTGCATATTGACTACGCAGGTCCCATCGACGGGAGAATGTACCTGGTATTCGTTGATGCCTACTCTCGTTGGCCAGAGATCCACGATTGTAAGGTCGCCACCAGTCGTACGACGATTGCCCAGTTGAGAGACATCTTCTCAAGGTACGGAGATCCGGAAACGCTTGTTTCGGACAATGGGACTCAATTCACTTCGAAGGAGTTCGAAGAGTTCTGTATGGAGCGTGGCATAAAGCATGTACGCACGCCTCCGTTCCACCCTCAGTCGAACGGTTTGGCTGAACGCTTCGTCGA